CTGTCGCGCTTCTCGTTGCGTCACACCTCAACCCGCCTCAAAGCCAACGCTGATTGGACGTTCGTTTGGTGAACGGCTCCAAATTTTCTTCACTGGAGAGTCTCTAGACTGATCTGTGAGTGAAACCTTGAAAGCTCGCGAGATCAGGATGGTCTCACGAGGCCAGGACCTAATAGGACTAGAGCTCCAGTTCTTTGAACCATCAGACACACAGATCCTCCCTAAGGTGTTTTTAATGTTCTTACCTTCTGGATTCCACTGGGAATGTCATAATGGATGACTATTGTTCCATATCGCTTATATCCAGGCAAGGGGGTGGAAACGGTCTGAACGTTCATTGTTCCGCCATCAGGCTGCGTCCCTGTCAAGACGCCGTAAACCTCTCCACAGATTGGACAAACTGGCTTGTAGTCAAAAGCTGTTTGGAGGCAGTCTCTGCAGAAGGAATGCTTGCACCGCAGGGCCTTCTTCTTCTCCGCTGGGATCGGCTCCATACAGATCGGACAGGACTCGTCTTCGGGAGGTTTGCTGCGTCCGGGTGACGGAGTGGAGGACTTCACGCTTTGACCCCTCGTTGGGGACTTCTTGACCGGACTGCTGCCTGGACTCTTTGAATTTTGCAGCTGAAACTCTTTTAGTTTCTGCACGTGCGCAAAAGGTCCGTAGACGGTGGTCTGTGAGCCGGAAGCTGCTTCGAAAAGCAGGAGAGGAAACTTTCTCTGCAGCTCCTTAGATTGGTGCGGGTCCAGATGGAGAGATGTCTGCTGCAGGTCTGAGGCAGTTCTCTGGTAGAACGTGACGAACCTCTGCCTCACAAGGTCCAAATGCACCCTGTCAACGAAAGACGATGTCTGTGGACTGAAAGTCACCTGAACTGTGCCCTGGCCATCACTGTTTGCCCGGTCATAACTAATCTGAAAACCATCACCATGAATTTTCTTCAGTTTATCAGGACATTTTCTACAAATATAATTCATAACACGTTGGCTGACAGTGGTTGGATGTGAACGGGGAATAGTTTGGTGTGAACTGGGAATAGTTCGTAGTGGACTGGCAATAGTTCGAAGTGGACTGGAAGTTTGCTGAGCAGTCTGTCCTTGTTGGTCATGAAGGCAGGGATGTCCTGACAGTTTGTTCACCAGTCGTTCCAGCTCTGAAAAAGTTCCTTTAACAGTATAACCAGTATAACCAGAATCAGTTTCCTGTTGTCTGTAGGCAGACAGAACCCACTTCAGCCTGTTCTCATCTCTGATAATCCGTCTATCAATGAACAGATGCACATCAGTGAAGATCTGCAACAGAACAAGACAACAGAAGTTAAATAAATCTGACTGAATGAACTTTATTAGACCTGCTGGACACACCTTGCATTATTATCAGTTGATGTAGTGAGAAATCAAACTAAATAAACCGGTGATTGACATTTAGAAAGATCTTCTATACTTGTTAAATGTTTTTCCAGGTTCTGATGAAGTCTATCTATCTATCTATGTAGTATTTTTCCTTGATCAGTGTCTGATATCATGAAGCAGAATAATCCTGTCTTTAGCTAAATGCTTACAGTTCATTTCAACAGTACAATTAGGTCTTTATCAGGCCAGTAAAACCAGTTTAGGATTAATTTGTTGTTCCTGTTCCTGGATTTTGAAGCTTGTTTCCAGGCAGATGGAAGAGGTGTTCTAGCTGCCATGTCTGAGTCCTCCAGCGTGTCCTGGTTCGTCTCTTGAGTTCAGAACCACTGCTTTCATATGGGGAAAAAAACCCTAACCTGCTTCTTAATTTTCTAAAGACTAATTTCAAGTTGAATTACTTTGTATAAAATGTACCATAAACAACTATTTCATTAGTCTGAATGAACTCAAACTCTACAAATTAAGGATTTAGGTTCAAATAAGCTCTAACTGAACGAAGGACCTGACAGCCATGTTTGATTTTATTGTTTACACTTCAGTTTAAATACTTTTGCTTTGTGAAGCAAATTTAATTGCAAACCCTTTAAATTTTTTTCCAAAGTTGTGAAGGCCGTTGTCCCCCTGCAGGAACTACAGGCTGCAGAGTATGTAATTAATACAAGCTACATCCAGTTTTCTTGTTTTTATATGTTGAAGTCTCCTCTAAGGAGGCCGGTTCTTTGTTTTTCTTTGTGTTTAATACATGCATTTGGAGAAATTTAAATAAGGCTCCTGATTGGTGAAATGCACAAACAGCAGGTTCTAGGGGAAAAGGTCAAGTTAAAACTGCTGCTTTAACAGTTCAGAGTTAATAATGGGAAATATTTAACAAAAGTTCAGATTATTCAGAAAACAGAAAACAGTTTTCTGTCCACAGCTGTTTCCTGGAGTTTATTATTTCACATCCTGACTCCTCAGAGGATGTTTGCCTTTTAAATGACACAGATCTGCTAATAAATGTGGATTTAGATCAGCTTGTTGTATAAACAGATGAACTGGATCTGAACAAATCTTCCATTTTTGAATATCTGAAGCCTTATAGTTATGGAGTATTTAAACTAAATATTTAGTTTAAATAAATATTTAGCTCCAGATTAAATATGTTGTTTTTAAAAATAAATATTGTTGGAGCCAAATGCTAGATATATGATTGAATATTTATTTCTAGTTTACTATTTTTGTCTGGTTTTGGTATGTACGGAAGAGGATTAGGGCCACTGGAAAAAAAAAAAAAAGTTAACTGATTTTTTTTATTTTATTTCAGTATAGTATGGTGAAAAAGTCAGAATTCTGACTTTAATCTCAGAATTCTGACTTTTTTCTCAGAATTCTGACAATAAAAAAAGTCAGAATTCTGAGATTAAAGTCAGAATTCTGACTTTTTTCTCAGAATTCTGATTTTTTTCTCAGAATTCTGACTTTAATCTCAGAATTC